TTCTGCCTCTCCTCCCCTTTCCCCACAGATTCATTTAAATGTTTCTGCCATTCATTTATTCATTCAGTATTTATGGAGAAGACTTGTCAGGCACCATGATAAGTGGTAGAAAATAATGATTCTGACACTTGATTTGTGTTTTACAACTCACTGATCATTTTCACATATATTAAATTCATTCAATCCTCAGAGGCGCTCACTTCATTTGGCCACAGTTCTTCCTCTTCTTTTAACTTTTTATTTCTCTTAATGTTCTTCATTACTTTCCTCAAATCTTTTGTGTGCAGAATTCAGTAGTCCCTCCTTAACCAAGAGGGACATGTTCCAAGACCCTCAGCAGATGCCTGAGACAGAAGGTAGTACTGACCCTGATTGCTGTCCATCGGAACACATTGCTGTTCATGTCTTCCACCCACAAATGTGATGCCTTTTCCATCTTAACTAAGCACTTATGACCCACTGTGGCCATTAGTTTTGCAGTTTAAGGTGTGACAGCAACACTAGCACAAATTTCTTTTTCCTTCTTCACAATTTCACAGACAGAAATTTCACAATTTCTATGTTCTTACTATAGACCTTAGTGCATGATTTTTTTTCTTTCTTTATTAAGTTGAGAACTTTTACCTTTTCACTTAAAGGAAGCACTTTAGTTAGTAAAGGAAGCACTTTGACTTAGTTTTGGTACATGTGAATTGCCAGCATTACCACTCTTGCACTTTGTGGCCATTATTAAGCACTGTGATACAGAGAGAGTCACATCTGAAAACTGAGACGGCTACTAAGTGACTCATGGTCAGGGAGCGTAGATAGTGTAGATACACTGGACAAAGGGACGATTCACGTCCAGGGCTGGACGAAATGGGACCATGGGAGATTCCATCACAGTAATCAGAATAGCATGCAATTTTAAATTTATGAATTGTTTATTTCTGGAATTTTCCATTTAATATTTTCAAACCACAGTTGACCTTGGGTAGCTGAAACCACTGAAATTGAAACTTTGGATAAGGGGGAATACTGTATTTACTAAGTGCTTTGGTGGGGAGTGAGGTGAGAAACCGGGTTGAGGAGAAGGCAGTAGGTGGTGAGAAGATAAAAATGAGATGAGAATCTAGGTCCAGAGATAATTTCCAATATCCCACATTTTAGGATCAAACGACAAAGTACTTGCAGGCACACTGTCTCTTATGTAGGACAGTACAAAGAGTCACTTGAAAAGGAACAATGACCATCAATGTATCTATCACTAGAAACTGGGTTGAGACTAAACACAGGGCTAGTGGTTTCCTAATTCCTCCCTTACCCCTTTCCAATTAATCTTATTTAACATACTGGAGACGTTAAAGCATCATGACTCCCTTCTTCTAAATGCCCAGGCCCTCGAGTCCCAGCATGAGTTCCCCAATTATATTTCCTCTTCATCAACTAACTGGCAAGACATAGAACACCCAAACTTAACCAGAAAATTATTCCTTCTGTCTCAAATCATATGTTCCATTCATTATTATGTCACGGATGCACAACCTGGCTTTTATAAGGAAATACCAGTGGCTTTTCTGCAGAAGACTAGCTTGTGGTGGATGAATATCTTATGGCAAGAAGTAGAGAACAATGGTAGTAGGCAGCTTATATTATATAAGCACACAGTTATCTCTCACATTTGAGTTTGTACTCATCATTTTAGGGTACTTTAAAGATTCACAGGATACAAGCTGATGATACAGTACATACAGTTTTTCTGTGAGACATGCTAAGTTCATTCCTAACCCAGGCCCCTATAACCTGTTTGGCCCTCTGCCTGGAATTCTCTTCCTCCAGAACTTCTCATGGTTGTCTCTTTCTTATTATTCAGCTCAAATGTCACTTTCACAGAGAGGCCTTCCCCAGGCACTCTCTCTATATAAAGTAGTATCTCAGTCCCTCTATCTCATTTCACAATTTTATTTTCTTTGTGGCATTTGCCACTACCTGAAATGGACTTACCTATCTTTGTACTGTATTTATGATCTGTCTCTGTTACTAGACCGTAAGCTCCTAGAGGGCAGTGATTATTTTTTAACACATTGCCTAGAACATAGTAGTAAATCCTGAATAAATACTGGTGGAATACATGAGTGAGCAACAGACATTTATTGAATGCCTGTAATACGCCATCTCCGTTTTAGGCATTGAGAATGTAGCAATGAATCAAGCAGACTAAAATCTCCCAACTCTCGGAGTTTACATCTTAATGCAGGGAAACAATCAACAAATAAGGAAGACGAAGCTGCTTGAGTGAGTCTGTGCTGCATTAAGTAGGGGCACAAGGAAAGGTCTTGCCCTAGAGATCTGAAGATGGTGAGAAGGGAGGCACCTGCACAAGGTGAGGAAGATAAGGCGGGAGGGAATGAGTCTTTTAGGCAAAGGGAAAAGGAAGTGCAGAGGCCCTAAGGAAACAGGAAGGGGGCTATGTGGTTAAAGCCAGCCAGTTCTGGGGGGAGTGGCGGATGGATCAGAGAGGTGTTAGCGGGACAGCTCCAAACATGTAGAGTCTTGGCCAGCCATCCCCAACCTTTTAGGTATCAGGAACCGGTTTCATGGAAGACAAATTTCCGCAGACAGGAGTTGCGTAGGGTGGGGGGCGGGGGGGCTCTGGCGGTGATGCTAGCGATGGGGAGCAGCTGTAAATACTCTCTAACTTGCCCCCTCCCGCTCACCTTCTGCTGTGCAGCCTTCTGGTTGCTAAGTTTCATGGAAGACAATTTTTCCATGGAGGGGGTGGGGAGGAGCACAGTGGAGCTCTGTGGCCTGGTCCCTAACAGGCCATGGCCTGGTACTGAGCTGTGGCTTGGGGGTTGGGGACTGCTGTTGTAGGCCCCTTCAAGGACTTTAGTTTCCACTCTTGTGCAAAATGGGAAGCCACTTGTGGGGGCTGGAGGAAGGGCACTGAGTAGAGTGATGTACCTGCCTTCGGGTATAACAGAATCTTTCTTTTTGTTCTGGGGATAGGACTATAGGGGTAGAGGTGGGAGCAATTAGAACAATGCAATAATCCAGACAAGAGGTGATGGTGGCTTAGTCCAGGGTCGTGAAAGGGAGATGGCGAAACATGTTAATAGTCTAGAAGGATTTTGAAGGTAGAGCTGATAGGATTTGCTGATGCAATGAACAAAGTAATGATGCAAAAATATGTGCAGAATGGATACAAAGAAGGCTTTTCTTGGATTTACAGAAAAGAGACTGGTTTTGTCAGGTCTGTGACACTGATATAACGAAAAGAAGCACAACTACCTAGAAATCCTTCATTGGAACTTTTGTGTCATCAATTATTTATCCCAAAGAACATGATAGAAAAAAAAGAAAGAGTGGTGAATTCAGTATATGAATACTGTATATGAATACATATTCAGTATCAGAATCTGTACTTGCAATTAAGCGAGCTGGTTTGGGGCTTGATCTCATTTCAGCACACCGACATGAGTGCAATAATTGTTCAGCAGACATAAACATTTCAAAACGAAATGACACTAGGTAGTTACACAAAAGGGTAAAACATTATTAAGAACAAAGATCTTGCCTGATTTATCCTGATGGGCGGTCTGCACTTCAAAATGATCTGATAACTCTCATATCTCTGACCCTTTGCTTATCGGGCTACACCGGAAGTGCCTGGGAGGTTACTCAACCTTGCATGTCACTACCTGGCTCCCTGCAAACGGCAGGTGCACAGCAAACATTCCTTGACCAGATGATTTCTTTTTTTCTTTTTTTTTAAACAAAATATGATTTCTTTATTCCTAGTTCCTCTCCACCCTCTCCTCTGTCTTCTTGCAGCGCTCAGGAGCATTTATCTATTTTTATACCCCAAATCAGTGATCAGATAGTCACTCATCAAGATGAAATCTCAGAACGTGCTGGGCGCTACGCAAAGCGTGTGTAGGGCGCCACCAGAGGCCCCCACCTGGGAAGCCAAGGAAAAGCTTCTAGGGCGAGGAGCTCCGCGCAAGCAGCAATCTGACAGCGAATGCTAATGTGCAGGCAGCAGGAGTCAGAGAACCAGACTGGAACAAGAAGAGGACTTTCAAACATACAAAAATCCCTCCTTGAGATTGGAGGGAACCTGGGCTGACGGGAGGCGAGCAGGGGCGCCTGGACCTTTGGGAGGATGAACGAGCAGCGCGCTGGAAGGGACGGGGACAGAGGGTTCCCTGGCCTTACTATATCCCTTACCTCAGTCTGGCCTCGAGGGACCTGAGGGAGGAGGCCGCGTCTGCCTCCCTCTAGGGGACGCGCCCCGAAGTCACTCCTTTAGCTCACCCGAGTTCCTCTGTTGCCATATCTGCTTAATTCCTCCTATTTGAGGTCTCCCAACCAATCACTTTGTCTCTGCACCTAGAAAATAAACTATTGCGAAGCATCCCACGGCAGGATACTGAAGTTTGCTTTTTGTTTCTAGGGTCTTTTTTTCAGGACTGCACGGCGACATGACCAAAATCTGGCTGCGCCTGGGCTGGGCGGCCCTTTCGTCTCTCTGGAGAACTTTCAGTGACAGGACGAATACGGCAGCGCCACAGCTGCACTATTCGAAGCGGCCAGTTCCGGAGGCGGCCACGCATTTCCACTCCCCGGGACCCGGAGGCGCCGGGAAGTTTACATCCTCTTTCCAGAGTCCCCAGGCGCGGGGTGGGGTCACCAGGGGAGAGGGCGCAGTAACTGCCCCTCCAAAGAAGAGCCGTCTTCCAAGTGGCTTGTCTCGGGCTCGGTCCACTCCGGGAGAGGGAGAAAGTTGGGCGGGAGCGCGGGGCGGGGTTGGGGGGCGCGGGTGGGAGACGGGTCGCCCCCCGCGCGCTCGAGCCGGGGTGGAGCCTGCAGCCCGGCGCGGCGTCAGCGTTTAAGATGCAAAACGAGTCCCCACTCCCTCCCGCCCCACCCCGCCCGGTGAGCCTGGCTCCGCCGCTCCGCAGCCGCCCCCGCCTCCTGCGCGCCGCTGCGCCCCAGCCGGCGGCTCTACTTAAGCAGCGCGCGGGCCGCGACCCGGCACTCGCCTGGAGCGCGCGGGCGAGGCGGGCGGAGCGCACCGGAGCTCACGGGGGCGCACAGCGGCGCGCTCGCACCGCTCGGCTCTCGGCGGCGGCTGCGGCAGCGGTCGGGGCGCAGGGCTGAGCGAGCGCCCGGGCTCCGGGGCTCTGCGAAAGGCGGCCGCGGCTCCCGAGTGCGGGCCCGCTCCCTGCCACTGCCCCGGCCCCGGCCCCGGCCCGGCCACTTCTTTGCCATGGCTCTGGCGGACAGCACACGTGGATTACCCAACGGGGGAGGCGGCGGGGGCGGCAGCGGCTCCTCGTCGTCCTCCGCGGAGCCGCCGCTCTTCCCCGACATCGTGGAGCTGAACGTGGGGGGCCAGGTGTACGTGACCCGGCGCTGCACGGTGGTGTCGGTGCCCGACTCGCTGCTCTGGCGCATGTTCACGCAGCAGCAGCCGCAGGAGCTGGCCCGGGACAGCAAAGGCCGCTTCTTTTTGGACCGGGACGGCTTCCTCTTCCGCTACATCCTGGATTACCTGCGGGACTTGCAGCTCGTGCTGCCCGACTACTTCCCCGAGCGCAGCCGGCTGCAGCGCGAGGCCGAGTACTTCGAGCTGCCGGAGCTCGTGCGCCGCCTCGGGGCGCCCCAGCAGCCCGGCCCGGGGCCGCCGCCTCCGCACTCGCGACGCGGGGTGCACAAGGAGGGCTCGCTGGGCGACGAGCTACTGCCGCTCGGCTACGCGGAGCCCGAGCAGCAAGAGGGCGCCTCTGGCGGGGCGCCGTCGCCCACGCTGGAGCTGGCGAGCCGCAGCCCGTCCGGGGGCGCGGCGGGCCCGCTGCTCACGCCGTCCCAGTCGCTGGACGGCAGCCGGCGCTCTGGCTACATCACCATCGGCTACCGCGGCTCCTACACCATCGGGCGGGACGCGCAGGCGGACGCCAAGTTCCGGCGGGTGGCGCGCATCACCGTGTGCGGCAAGACGTCGCTGGCCAAGGAGGTGTTTGGGGACACCCTGAATGAGAGCCGGGACCCCGACCGGCCCCCGGAGCGCTACACCTCGCGCTATTACCTCAAGTTCAACTTCCTTGAGCAGGCCTTCGACAAGCTGTCCGACTCGGGCTTCCACATGGTGGCATGCAGCTCCACGGGCACCTGCGCCTTTGCCAGCAGCACCGACCAGAGTGAGGACAAGATCTGGACCAGCTACACCGAGTACGTCTTCTGCAGGGAGTGAGCTCCCCAGACCCCTAGCCACTCCAGCGCCCACTCTCCCTCCTTCCTGCCCGAGATGATTACAGATCCTCCCGCTCCTCCTCTGTCCCCTGGCTACCCTTCCCTAGTGTCCCCCTCCAGTAGTTGCTGGGCCAGACCCGTCCCCATACCCTCCAGAACCTGCAGCCGCAAAACCTCTGGGCGTCCTCGTTTTCTCTGGACCCCGCTAATCAAGAGAACCCAGACACGTACCCCCCACCCCACGCTTCCTCTACTCCCTGCCTCCCACCGTCCCTCCCCCAGGTGGGACTTCAGTCTGGATCTGGTGGGGCAGGTTGGCCACAAAGTCACCAAGTATCTGGCAATGATTGAATTGTTCAGAACCTGATTGGACCGTGTCCAGTGTGTAGAAGATTCCTTGAAATCTTCTCGAGCCCTTACGACTCATTCTCATTCGCGGTTTAAGAGACCAGAATTGATAACACTGGGGACAGATAGTGTTTTAAAGGGCCATTATACAGTCTTTTGGACTCTCATTGAAGGTTGAGTTTCTAGAAGGCTGAATGGAAGACTGCGATCCTGGCATCAGGACCGCATGGAGGCAGTCCAGTGACTGTAAATGAATAAAGTTTTGAAAAGTTACAGGTAAAAGCAGAACAATCTAGTGCTGGCACAGTGAAGGATCCTGTCTTTCGCATACAGAATAAAAAAGTCTTTGCCTGTGGCTTGAACTTGTAGAAAGTGATCCTCCTGCCTGCGGAGGTGCCCCTTTTCATCGGCTTGTCGCCTGAAGCCCTTGGTTCTACTGGTTGAAATAGCAGCCTTTACTGTCGAAAGGGAGACAAGGGCGCTGCCCCCTAAGAGGGCAAGGCTGTCCAGGACGCCAAGACAGATGCAGGAAGACACCCAGCACTGACTGTAAAGGGAGCTGGGCAGTAATGCACGTCGTGAGTGTTAGGAAAGCCTGTACTCTTGCAGTGAATGGCAGTAGGATCCTTAGCTCTAAGATTTGGGGGTGGGGTGGGGAGGGGAGGGGAGGGAGGAAGGGATAGGAAGGGTGGGAAGGGAGGAGCCGACATAACTCATTTATTATTTGAAAGCTGGAAGTTTGTACCATCCGTTTTGAGTACATGCACATTTTAAAAATATCAAATAGTACATGCAAACATGCCAAGCATTTTATAAAGATTAGTAACAGACCTACTCTTAACTGGCAGTTGATTGAACTTACTGTTTTGAGTCCTAAACTTAGAAATTGCTAATACTTATAGAACTTAACCAAAGAGTTAACCCAGTAGGGTTTTAGTTTTTGAACTTTTATTTTCTTGTGGATTATAAATCTTGATGTTCAAATCTACTTACTTGAGCAAAATACGTTTGATTTTGGTTGCTTAGACTTAAGATCTCTTATTAAAGATCCTTGTTTTCTCCAAACCCAGCAAATGTTGACTGCTGGGCAAACCTGAATACCAGAAAATGCCACTTCCTTCATGCATTTGTTTGGAGTTAAGGTGGAATCTTTGCAAGTGGCAGAGCTACAGAGAAATATAAGCACCAAGGGCTGCCCATCTGTAGATAGCTGTAAAATGGAATATTTTTAAATGAAGGCAAATGAGTACTTAAAAGTGAGCTGAGCAATAAAATGGTGTTTTAGGTAAATGCAGCAGAAACAGAAGGAGACCTGGTTGCCTTATGCCTTTACTCTTACATGGAATAAATTCCCAATGCATATCCTGTGTGCACCATAAGTGAAGGGAAACAACCCACGTCATGCTTCATGCTGTGAGGTGTCCTTTGACTATTCTGTGATGATGGAGAAGACTTTCTAGTTTGTTTTGTTTGTTTCGGCATCTTTTCCTGAAGTCTGTTTTTAAAGATTTTGTAAGAGCCATTTTCAGTGTCTAGTGCTATTTTTCCTTCTTTTTAAAAATGAATCTTGTACTGTATCTTACTGTATCCATACAGCGGTTACGAATGGGAACAGTTTTATTCTTAGACTCATGTGATCCAATCTGTATATACCATATATAAACATTTTACACGAATCATTTAGTTTTCTAATTCATTTACTAATGCTATACAGTTTCCTATATTTACCCCTAGTAACCTGCATCAGATGGTGTATATACTAAAAGCAACATGTTTTGATGAGTTTCTTAAATCCTTGTCTATGGGGAATTTAGGTTTGGAAAAAATACCTAATTGTAAAACTGAGTTTGCACCATACTTTTTTTGCTTGGATATTAGTTGTATACTTAATCATGTGTCAGTTAACTGTCTACTTAAAATCAAGGTACCTGTATTTTTAATTCACTGATTTTTTTAATTGGGAAAGAGAAAGATTTAAAGTCTTTATTATTAGAGTTACATTTTAAGAAAAGTAAAGTTAGCTTTATATACAAGGCCTGTAATTGTAGGGAAAGTGGAAGCAGAAATACAGGGAGTTGTGTTTGCTTATGTGTTGAGTTTGGTCTCAGACTAGATAATGCATCAGAACTTATCTCTGTTTCAAGCCTGGAATGATTTAGGGCTGTTGCTCACTGGCCAAAAGTGAGTGTCACAGAGATTTCCCTACCGTGTGTGGCATTTTGTTAGATTGTTCAACAAAAAGCACATGTTTGAGAACGTCTTAGGACAGATCAAAACCACTAACAGAGGGCAAGACTTACCAATTCTGATCTCCCTTGTCAAATATGCTTAACTCCAGGACATCATGAAAAACTGTTAAAATTTTGTCTCAAGTCTTATGAATGTTTATTTTGTAAAACTTTGAGTTGAACTATCCCACTTTCTTGTACATAGGCATCTTACTCCTCTCCCCCTTGCTGTCTGCACATCCTACCTTATTTGAAATACTGGAGATTTAATGATTAGGGACAGTAAACCAACCTCTTTTTCTAGGGATGACTGTCTCCTCTAAAGTTGAAGTCAATAAATGGGAAGTCTCTACTTTTAGCCCAAAGTAAAGGCTGGGTAGGAAATTCATTTTACATTGGGTAGATAGTATAACACAGGTAAGATGACTTGGCATGGGTACCTTTAAATCCCCTACTCCCCATGTACTTTGGGCCACAGAAGGAGCCTTTGAGGTCTATGAAGTGGGCTGGAGTGTTGATCATCACCTATGAGCTTCAGTGGGGTATTGAGGGCTGATTTGAATAAGCCCTCTTAAAACACCATTCATATAACCTGGGAGACTGTCATAAATTATCTAGATAATTATGACTGTATTAATCTGACTCAGATACATTACATATCTTGCTCTAATTATCATTTGATGTTCATAGTGACATTAGACTTTAAATAACAAACTTAATTTTTAAAAAGGAATTTATTGACAGTGGTGGTTAAAAAGACAGGTACCATGTTTCATGCTTTTGCTCCAAGTGATTGACATGTTTATTTTTTAATACATGTAGACTGTGAAGACCATATTCATTCTGATTTTTCAAATGGTATATTGTGGAAAATATTTCTTGAAGGTGTTAAATTTAAATTTTTTTCCCTTTCAATGCTGTTTTTATTCTTGTGTTTCTTATTTGGTTTTTTGGATTGATAGCAAAGTGATAATTTATAATGCTAGCCAAAATTGTCTTCTCTTTCAAACCAGACCCATATATATATAGATATGTGTGTGTGTGTGTGTGTATACACATACACACACACACACACACACGCACACATATATATGGCCTACTGCTTCTCTGAGGAAATGCATAATCTGTGAATACTCAGACAAAATGGGCAATTGGCAATGCTCCTAATATATTCCAATTTTTATTGGAATTTTCCATGAAATGTTATCATTACATTACAGCCATGTAAGGTGAAGCTTTGATAATTTTTTACTCTTCAAGTTATGGTAAAATCCAGTCTAATATTCAAATCATTTTTGTACTCATACATAAAAAATGCTAAATTACAATGCAGACATTTAGAAAAGTATTGACTAGAGGGGTTGAATTCCTTAAGAATTTCTCTTACATTCTAAATCACAAATACATTACTCAACTGACTTAAGTGTTTAAAGTAGTTAAGCTGAATATTTTTATGGTAAACTTACCAGAGTCAATCCTTTGTTTGGAATTTTTTTTGCTACTAGAAATCATTTAAAAACTAAATTAGTTTTCTTAGATGACCTAAGTCTGTCTGTTGAGAAAGAAATAAAAGACTCTTATTTCCAGTATCTATAAGACATGAAAACAAGTTTGCTTATAGCCAGAAACAAGTTATGTTGAGGTTAACTTGTTGTTGTCATCATTTTGGACAATACAAATCTAAAAGTATTAACACATAAGAATTTAGATTCTCTACTGGGGTCCTTGAAACTTAGATGGAAGAAATTCAATCAGAATATCTATAGTAGAATATAATCATGTGTGGTAGTAAGATGGAGTAGTGGACCAAGAATACTTGTCACTTACGCATTTTGTGATTGTTTTTCCAAGCCAAGTATTTTATTTTAAATGTGTTTTGAGGTATGTGTACATCAATTGTAAACTGTTATACAACTGTCTTTGTGACTTTACAGTCAGGTAAATTTTGCTGTTACTTTTGAATACAAATAATGACAATTCCTTTATGACCATTCAACAGCATTAGTAACTATTTAATGACAAAGGGTTAAAATATCTACTATAAATGTTAATTCTGAAGATGTAAATTATATGTTGTTTAATTTGGGGGGGGACATCTGAAAAACTCTTATCTGCTAAACAATGTAAGATTCCCACAGAGCTATCTGAGATTCTGAAATTGTTGAAAATGTTTTATGCTAAGCGATACATACTATTGAGTCATTTTCTCAAAATACAAGAGGAGAAGAAAAAAAATAATAACATTATAAGACTTTTATAATGAAACAGAAAGCTAAAAGAAAAAGCCCTCTATATATTTTTTTAAAAAGATGGTGTGGAAATCGTTTCGGACATGCCCAAACTTTGAGAATTTCTTTAACTGTCTAAATGGTCTAGAGATTTTTGTTCTGTCTGTTCACAACCAGTTGTATAACAGAAATATTCAATGCTGTTTTCCTCCCTGTGTGTGAAGTAATGGATCATTGATTATGTGACTTGTTATGTATTCTATTAAACACTAAAAAAATAAAACATTCACTCCTTTAATTATTCCTTCTGGCTCTTTGATATAGATTGTGTCGAATGCTGGTCTAATTTCATTTAAGGGGTCCTTGAAATACTGGGAACGCTTCCCTAATTGTTGTGGGACTACTGATGAGCATTAAGCTATCAGAAGTACTCCTCACTGAGTAGACCAGCTAGTCCCAGCGTGAACACGTCCCTTCCCCAGAGTTTATTGTCAGGAATGCACAGGTGGTTTGGTACTCAGTGTAGAAGAAAAGCCCTTCACAAACATATTCTTTGACCTCAGTCTTTGCAACATGTGCCAATTGTGTATAGGGACAAGGAAAAAGAAGCTTTCAGATGTACTTTCAATCAAAAGTACAATTCAGGGCTGGGTGTGGTGGCTCATGCTTGTAATTCTAGCACTCTGGGAGGCCAAGGCAGGAGGATTGCTTGAGCTCAGGAGTTGGAGACCAGACTGAGCAAGAGTGAGGCCCCCATCTCAACTGAAAATAGAAAAAAAATTAGCTGGGCAACTAAAAATAGAAAAAAATTAGCTGGGCATGGTGGTGCACACCTGTAGTATCGGTTACTTGGGAGGCTGAGGCAGGAGGATAGCCTGAGCCCAGGAGTTTGAGGTTGCTGTGAGCTATGACATCATGGCACTCTAGCCTAGGCAACAGAGTGAGAGACTCTGTCTGAAAAAAAAATTAAATAAAAATATAATTCATAAAGATAAGTTTCTAAAGAATGTTGGGAAAGAGGATCTGCATTTTGATATGAAGGGTCCTTACTGCATCCTCTCCAGTCATTGATGTCTGTCCTCTCTAAAGAAAGCACAGTGCTGTTAAGATTGGGAAATCAACGAAACTCGAGTCTGCTAGGTTATGGCGCAGGAAGCCGTGAGTCGGGCGGGTAGAGTGAGCCAGGCTTCGCCCTTCCTCTTTTGCCTGTACTTCCTCTGGGTAGCTTTTGTTTTAAAAGTGTGTATGTGTGTGTGTGTGTGTGTGTGTGTGTGTGTGTACATACACACGATTTATTTTTTTGAAAGTTTAATACATATGGTGAAAAATTTAAGTAATACAAGGATGTATAAATAGAAAGTAAATCTCCCTTCTCCAGTAACTCCTAGTTTTTCATAGGGGCCTCCTTTTGATTCTGTAGGAATTATACCTGTTCCATGTCTTGCTTTCTACTTTTAACTACATATCCTGGAGTCATTGCAATGTTTAAATATGTAGCAATGATCTACTTCATGCTGTTTGATAGCTACATGATATTCTGCAGGATATGTCATTGTCTAGATGTTTTGTCATTTATTTTACCAGTCCTTTATTGATAGTCATTAAGTTTTCAAGGACTGATGTACTGAATGTATATATATATACTGAGTCTAGCTTTTTTGTATGAAGTGATGCCAAGAGAGAAATGACTGGGAGGTACTTTTTCCCTACTGAGGAACTATGAAAACAGTATGAAAGTTCCCTAGGAAATGGGGATGGTGGTGGTATGAAATAACTTTAGGGTTGTTAGGCATGTAAGTATGAAATTTTATCTAGCTTTCATATTGGGGACAAAGCCTCCTCTCTTTGTTTTCTACCTCCCTTCAAATTTTATTATAGTTTTTTTAATGAATTGTAACAAATGGTTATTTTTTAGGAATATATGTAGAGGAGCCATAATATACCCCATACTTCTTAAGGAGGCACCTCTAGGGGAGTTGGAAAAGGATAGGAAGATATAGAATAAATATGGGACCTTCTGGAATATCAACTTGACTAATAGAGATGTGTATATATGAATTGGGGAATTAGGTCCTTTAACTGGCAAGTGATTTGTGAAAATCTATTTGATGTTATGGAAAGTATGGGAAATTTACAGGAATTTAAAACGTAAAAGCCTAAATGTTAAAGATATTTTGAGCTGTAGAATTGCAGGGATGAATTCACTCTCTTCTGCCATTAAGAACTTGGTGGTGGTAGAGCTAAGAACTTCTGCTGGTATATATGGGCCTTGTTTTTTGATGGGTAGTTTCGGGGTAATAGTCTTTTAAGGTCCCTGCTTATCTGATAGGGACACGGGAATGAGTAAGACCCCCCCCAAAGCACTGAGGATTAGTAAGGGAGCCAAATAGTGATAAAATAACTTGGAAGTGCAGTTCTAGGATAGTCTGAACAACTGTAGGAGTCAGAAAGGGGATGCCTCACTCATGTCTTAGGCATGCTAGAGGAGGAGATGCCAGAGCAGAGGCTTAAAAGTCAAGAAGAGGAAGAGGAGGGTCCTTCTAAGCACAGGCCAGCTCTGTGAGGAAAGACCTGGAGGCAGCCAGAGCTAGAAATAGCTCTGTGTTGCTGAAATCTGGTAGCAAAACAAAACAAAACCCCAACCAAACAAAAAAAACTTGGAGAGGCTGTACAGGCCAGATCAGGGTGAGTCTCACAGACCCTGTTAAAAGATTTGGACTTTGGTTCTTAGGGTTTACTAAAGAATTTTAAGCAAGTTGTGAAATAATCAGAATTCCTTTTTGCAGAGACTTCTTCGGGGCCCTGTGAGGGCTGGGTTTGACAGGCACAGCCAGCAGTTAGAAGCCAGGTTAGGAAGCTGTTCAGAGAGTTGTTCAGAGCTGTTCAGCTGTTCAGGAGTCCAGATGAAAGGGCCACATTCGGCCACATGCAGATCACCTGGCTGCAGGGGGAAGGGATGAGGTTTTGTTCATCTTTCTTCTCCCTTCAAACCTCCCAGGCTTTACAGTTTTCCAGGCATGAGTTTCTTTGCGATAATATTGGAAACACCGTGTTTGAATGAGGAATTCTTGTCTTCGGTTGATATCTATGTCTCATCATCAAGACTCATATTATGGAGTCTTTAAAGAGACCTAATCAATTATTTATTTAGAAGGCACTTGATAGAGCACCTATTATTATGCATAAAGCATCCTGAAATACCAACTCATTTTTTTCATCTTCAACTGTTATGAATTGAGCTTCTCAGGTATTTGAGACACAGCCTTCTCCCTTCAGTTGTGCTTGCTTTACCTTCACCAACAGAGAGCAAAGTGGCCAACTGGCCAATTAAAGGATATTTACTTATGTAACTACCAGAAATTATAGAAAACTTAGGCTTTCCACACTTGGCATGACTGGAGTTTTATGAACCATATCTTTTCCCCTGCAATTCTTTTAAATACATTTAATAGTTACTAAGAATGGTTTTTTCCCTTCGTTTTTCAAAGTGAAAAAGATGAAGCACAGTAATAATAGATTCTAAAATTAGTTATTTAGAGTTCCCTTTTGTTATAGTAACTGACAACATTTCCCATGTTATGTACCATTTATTCCTCATTAATCCATTATCTTTCTTCATTCTAGTAAGACTTTTTGGGTGGATGAGTAGAATCCAAGTTTAGGGCAGATCCTGATCTCTGTATATAGAAAGAAAAGGGCAGGGGAAGTATCTTCTTGCTCTGTCTTTATCTTTACTTTTTGGAAAGCATTGAATAACAATCACATAGTTGCGAGCAACAGGAATTTGAGAGAAATGAAATTAAAAGCTTAGGCTCATTGGCAACTTGGTTTGCTGGCTTCTACTTTGTGGTGCGGTCTTAACCTTGACTTACCCTGACATGTATTTGCCCGTTTATAATATGGAAAAAAGCATTTATTTCTTTTTCTATTTTGCCCCAGTATGTTTATAATATGGAAAAAAGAATTTATTTCTTTTTCTATTTTGCCCCAGTACTCAACATAGTGTATAGCACATAATAGATCACCAATAAAAGTTTGTTGAATATATGAACAAATGCTTATGTTAGTTCATTCTTCTTCTTATTATTATTATTTTACTTGCAAGCATGAAACCACAGAGTTTATTGAGGAAGGGCAAGATAGGTTTACAAAGCAAGAGCAAGATATAGGTTTACAGAGCAAGAGCAAGATATGTTCACCACAGATGACAAATGGACTTTGTGTCTTAACAAAAGGGCCAGTTGATTCTCTTTTACATATCAGGGAGAAAAAGAACTAACTTGAAATTTGCCAATCTTTGCCTTATAAAATAACTCTACCAAATATCAATAATCCCTCTTTATACATATATATTTTGAGAAATTACAACTGTAGTTTCATAAATATATTAAAATGACTCTTCTTTCATCTGACTTAAAAGTCACAAACATTAGGATGAGAAACTGATTTGGATATTTTTTTCTGAATAGTTATTCTCTGGCAGCTGCTCCAAAGCCCCATGTGAATTTCTGGCTAAAGGAGAAAAGGCTTGACAATGTTTCCATTTTATGATAGAAGTCAAGTTCACTGACAGCCATATTATAGTCTTTCCTCTGGGGCTATTATTTGGTACAGAGTTTTGAAAATCTTAACTGGAAAGCTTCAAGAGGTGCCTCTAAGAGTTGCAGGAAAGAAATTTGACCTCTCTGAAATGCTGGAATATACTGTTTCAAATGTTCCGCTGGTGAGAGTTGTGGTTTTTTAAAAATGACAATTGCAAGTACTTTTAAAAAATAAATGATCTGTATAATGATGCTCTGACCTTACCATAAGTGAATATATTGTTTTTTTCTTTGCTCAAAACCATGTGTGCACAAAGTATAAGTTCTCTTCATGTCAGAAACAGAGTTGTTAGTCAAAGTTTTGCCCTTTAGTTCTGAGAGTGTTGCATCTAAAATGTGAGTAATGCAAAAAACAAAAAATAATAGTGAAACTTCGTTATATTGTTGTTGTATTTCTCTTCTGTAATGTATACATAGTCTTCTCCTTCCAGTGTCTAAGAAGAACTCTCAAAATTCTAGGTTTGAGTTAATTTGGTGATATGTAGGTAAATCAATACTTTCGTTTTGGTTTTTGGCTCTAACAGTTGAAAGAGCTTTTTGGGCTTGAATCCTTTGACATTTGTCTTTAACCCTACTTTACTTTATGGACCTAGACACAGTTGTTAAGTGTACCAGTGACTTCCCATTTAACAGGATGATATTAGTGGCTATGAACTGAACATTTGTGTCCCCCAAAATTGATATGTTGAAGCCCTAA